GGAGGAACGTCGCATAAGGAGTCAGTGTAAACAGAAAAGGATTCCCATTGTTGAGTAGTGACTGAATCAAATTTGAAAATGCGGCGGGTTCGTCGTTGAAGTTGTTTAGCATGAGCAACCTTGATAGACACGGCCAAGAGTGAGTCATCAAAATACGTGATGATAGGATTGTGGTCAGAAGAGCAGGTATCATGTGCGTCAAATATGTAGGAAGTGAAAGCAAAGCATTTTAACATCGGGCAAGACCAAACATAGTCTATACGAGTAACTTGGTCATCACGGTGAAAGGTGCCTAAAGAAGTAGAAGCATTAACAGGAATGGTTTCTTCATAACCATGAGATAAAAGATGATATAACAAACGATAAGCTCGTTGAGAAGCAATAGCAGGGCGATTAAAGTAAATAGGATAATAAATGTCTAAGTGCATATTAAAATCTCCACAAATAGCGTGATAAAAATTTTGTTGTTTGGTTTGCACCAATAAGTGTAAAAGAAGGTCAATAGTTTCTGATCGTAATTTAGAATCAGAAATAGGAGGAATATATATAACAAAAATGCGTAATTTAACGTTGCCTTTAAAATATAGATCAACAGATAAAATACGTGAAGAGTGTGAAACAAAATCTTGTACATGGGAAGCAAGGGATTTTTCAATAAAAAGGGAAACGCCACCAGTAGATTTAACTTGTTTAGTTTTATCTATATCAGATGAAAAGACAGTATAATTAGGGAGGCGTTTAGATAAGAAATGAATTTGTTTGGGAGATAAGTGGGTATCTACGATACCACCAAAGGAGATATGTTTGAGGTTGAAAAAGTTGGAAATTTGTTCAAATTTAACTTGACTATTATGGCGAAGACCATTAACATTAAAGGATGAAATATTAAAAGAATTAGGGATAGGGGAAGAATTTAGGGTAGTAAATAGAGATTCATTTTCTGAAAAATTATAAGTATCTACGGAGTTGGGTGGGTTACGAACAAATGTATCATAATTAGAATTGTCTAACATTAAAGCACAATGATAATAGGGAACGGAGAAAAGGAATCAAGAAGTCAGTTATTGCGAAGGAGCAGAAGCTCGATCGGAGGGAGAACCACCAAGAGAAGCAATAAAACCTTGAATGGAACCAGTGAGCGATTGTAAAGTATCTTTAATCGCTTTTTGATCTTAAATAACCGAGTTCAATTCGTCTTGCGGGGAAGGGTTAGAGTTGGACACGGAAACAGAGTGCGAAGCATTGGTAAGCGCAGATTTGGGGGGAGTGGATTTCTTAGGACCAGAAGACAAAAGAGCATTAGGATGTGGGATTAAGGTACCAGTAGTTTCGGGAGGGTCTTCTTCCATCCGACCAGGTTCAGAATTGACAACAGGTGCGGAAGGAGGATTGATGCCTAAGTGGGCTTCAATAGCAGACAGCCGTTGATTATTGAGTTCAAGAGATGAGATGCGGGATTCCACTCGTGCGACATCATGTTGAAGAGTTTGCAACACGTTGAGAATTTTAAGGGCAGCTTCAAGGGCATTAGGGGTAGTTGGGTCCGGGAGTGGAACGCGAGCAGAGGCCGAAAAGGAAACAGATCTATCTTTGCCTTTTCGATTATTGGAAGGTGTACGTCCATGAGCAGCTGAGGAGGAGTTATCCGAACCAGAGGAGGAGGGTTTAGTACTGTTATTGTTATTATTATTATTATTTGAACGATTGGAGTTTGAAGTAGAACGCTGAGCAGAGGCAGAACGATCCCGGGATTTAGATCGAGATCGAGACTGAGAATTATTGTGTGGAGTTTTTTGTTGAGCAGGTCTTTGGCCAATGTTGAAACGTTCTTTAAGGGTAGCAACAGGGTCACGTGTGCGTGAGCGACCATGACGTTGATTGAGTGGGCAGGAGGTAGGAGCACAACCGAGTTTGCCACATCTGTGGCAAAGGGCTTTAGAATCATTGGATGTACCCCATCGTAGAATACGACCTTGGAATCCAATTGTTTGTTCCATAGCGGCGTCCATCGTCGCTTGCGAGTTAAAAGTAACATAAGCCCAAGGCTTGGGTTTATATGAATTTAGGGAAAGAGGAATGTTAATGGCTTTAGCTCCATGTTCTTTAACCCATGGAGCGAGATGAATATCTTTAGTATTAGCAGGGAGGCCAGAGAGAATTGCGACGAATTCACGACGAGCAGCTTTTAGTTCCACTGAATAATGGCAGGGAGTGACGCGTAAACAGGTGGAAAAACAATAAACTGCCCATTGAGTGGTAAAACGGGAGATAGCATCGGCATGATCGTAAACGATGCGTGCTTGTTGCATTTTGGCACCTTTCCTTGAATAGAGATGGAGGGATAGCAAATTGCCAAATTTCTTGAAGTAGGATTGGAGTTGAGGTTTGGTGATGAAGAACGGTATGTCAGTAACTTGAATGGCGCGGAGATCTTCATCAGATCGGAGTTGTTTTGGATCATACAGGTGGAA